TGAGGTTGGAAAAGAGAGAGAGTGCTGAAGGCTTGCTACTTGTGTTATTGAGGCACATTCTATATCTCTAGTCCTGACAATGGTGTTCCTTCACCATCTACTGGTGAAATGTGGCATTACAAATTATTTTTTTTCACCTTTATTTAACCAGGTAAGCCAGTTGAGAACAAGTTCTCATTTACAACTGCAACCTGGCCATGATAAAGCAAAGCAGTGTGATAAAAACAACAACACAGAGTTACATATGGGGTAAAACAAAACATAAAGTCAAGAATACAACAGAAAATATATATACAGTGTGTGCAAATGTAGCAAGTTATGGAGGTAAGGCAATAAATAGGCCATAGTGCAAAAAATTACAATTAGTATTAACACTGGAATGATAGATGTGCAAGAGATGATGTGCAAATAGAGATACTGGGGTGCAAATGAGCAAAATAAATAACAATATGGGGATGAGGTAGTTGGGTGGGATAATTTCAGATGGGCTGTGTACAGGTGCAGTGATCGGTAAGGTGCTCTGACAACTGATGCTTAAAGTTAGTGAGGGAGATAAGAGTCTCCAGCTTCAGAGATTTTTGCAATTCGTTCCAGTCATTGGCAGCAGAGAACTGGAAGGAATGGCGGCCAAAGGAGGTGTTGGCTTTGGGGATGACCAGTGAGATATACCTGCTGGAGCGCATACTACGGGTGGGTGTTGCTATGGTGACCAATGAGCTAAGATAAGGCAGGGATTTGCCTAGCAGTGATTTATAGATGGCCTGGAGCCAGTGGGTTTGGCTACGAATATGTAGTGAGGACCAGCCAACAAGAGCGTACAGGTCAAAGTGGTGGGTAGTATATGGGGCTTTGGTGACAAAATGGATGGCACTGTGATAGACTACATCCAATTTGCTGAGTAGAGTGTTGGAGGCTATTTTGTAAATTACATCGCCAAAGTCAAGGATCGGTAGGATAGTCAGTTTTACGAGGGCATGTTTGGCAGCATGAGTGAAGGAGGCTTTGTTGCAAAATAGGAAGCCGATTCTAGATTTAACTTTGGATTGGAGATGCTTAATGTGAGTCTGGAAGGAGAGTTTACAGTCTAACCAGACACCTAGGTATTTGTAGTTGTCCACATACTCTAGGTCAGACCCGCCGAGAGTAGTGATTCTAGTCGGGTGGGTGGGTGCCAGCAGCGTTCGATTGAAGAGCATGCATTTAGTTTTACTAGTGTTTAAGAGCAGTTGGAGGCTACTGAAGGAGTGTTGTATGGCATTGAAGCTTGTTTGGAGGTTTGTTAACACAGTGTCCAATGAAGGGCCAGATGTATACAAAATGGTGTCGTCTGCGTAGAGGTGGATCTGAGAGTCACCAGCAGCAAGAGCGACATCATTGATATACACTGAGAAAAGAGTCAGCCCAAGAATTGAACCCTGTGGCACCCCCATAGAGACTGCCATAGTCCCAGACAACAGGCCCTCCGATTTGACACATTGAACTCTATCTGAGAAGTAGTTGGTGAACCAGGCGAGGCAGTCATTTGAGAAACCAAGGCTATGAGGTTGTGGACAGGTCGATGAAGACGGCTGCACAGTACTGTCTATTATCGATCGCGATTATAATATCGTTTAGGACCTTGAGCGTGGCTGAGGTGCCCCATGACCAGCTCGGAAACCGGATTGCATAGTGGAGAAGGTACGGTGGGATTCGAAATGGTCGGTGATCTGTTTGTTAACTTGGCTTTCAAAAACTTTCGAAAGGCAGGGCAGGATGGATATACATTGGGGGAAAAAAGTATTTAGTCAGCCACCAATTGTGCAAGTTCTCCCACTTAAAAATATGAGAGAGGCCTGTAATTTTCATCATAGGTACACGTCAACTATGACAGACAAATTTCTTAAAGATATTTTTTTTCCCAGAAAATCACATTGTAGGATTTTTAATGAATTTATTTGCAAATTATGGTGGAAAATAAGTATTTGGTCACCTACAAACAAGCAAGATTTCTGGTTCTCACAGACCTGTAACTTCTTCTTTAAGAGGCTCCCTGTCCTCCACTCGTTACCTGTATTAATGGCACCTGTTTTAACTTGTTATCAGTATAAAATACACCTGTCCACAACCTCAAACAGTCACACTCCAAACTCCACTATGGCCAAGACCAAAGAGCTGTCAAAGGACACCAGAAACAAAATTGTAGACCTGCACCAGGCTGGGAAGACTGAATCTGCAATAGGTAAGCAGCTTGGTTTGAAGAAATCAACTGTGGGAGCAATTATTAGGAAATGGAAGACATACAAGACCACTGATAATCTCCCTCGATCTGGGGCTCCACGCAAGATCTCACCCTGTGGGGTCAAAATGATCACAAGAAAGGTGAGCAAAAATCCCAGAACCACACGGGGGGACATAGTGAATGACCTGCAGAGAGCTGGGACCAAAGTAACAAAGCCTACCATCAGTAACACACTACGCCGCCAGGGACTCAAATCCTGCAGTGCCAGACGTGTCCCCCTGCTTAAGCCAGTACATGTCCAGGCCCGTCTGAAGTTTGCTAGAGTGCATTTGGATGATCCAGAAGAGGATTGGGAGAATGTCATATGGTCAGATGAAACCAAAATAGAACGTTTTGGTAAAAACTCAACTCGCCTTATTGGAGGACAAAGAATGCTGAGTTGCATCCAAAGAACACCATACCTACTGTGAAGCATGGGGGTGGAAACATCATGCTTTGGGGCTGTTTTTCTGCAAAGGGACCAGGACGACTGATCCGTGTAAAGGAAAGAATGAATGGGGCCATGTATCGTGAGATTTTGAGTGAAAACCTCCTTCCATCAGCAAGGGCATTGAAGATGAAACGTGGCTGGGTCTTTCAGCATGACAATGATCCCAAACACACCGCCCGGGCAACGAAGGAGTGGCTTCGTAAGAAGCATTTCAAGGTCCTGGAGTGGCCTAGCCAGTCTCCAGATCTCAACCCCATAGAAAATCTTTGGAGGGAGTTGAAAGTCCGTGTTGCCCAGCGACAGCCCCAAAACATCACTGCTCTAGAGGAGATCTGCATGGAGGAATGGGCCAAAATACCAGCAACAGTGTGTGAAAACCTTGTGAAGACTTACAGAAAACGTTTGACCTGTGTCATTGCCAACAAAGGGTATATAACAAAGTATTGAGAAACTTTTGTTATTGACCAAATACTTATTTTCCACCATAATTTGCAAATAAATTCATTAAAAATCCTACAATGTGATTTTCTGGATTTTTTTTTCTCATTTTGTCTGTCATAGTTGACGTGTACCTATGATGAAAATTACAGGCCTCTCTCATCTTTTTAAGTGGGAGAACTTGCACAATTGGTGGCAGACAAAATACTTTTTTTCCCCACTGTAGGTCTGTAACAGTTTGGATCTAGAGTGTCACCCCCTTTGAAGAGGGGGATGACCGCGGCAGCTTTCCAATCTTTGGGGATCTCAGACGTTACGAAAGAGAGGTTGAACAGGCTAGTAATAGGGGTTGCGACAATTTCGGCAGCTAGTTTTAGAAAGAAAGGGTCCAGATTGTCTAGCCCAGATGATTTGTAGGGGTCCAGATTTTGCAGCTCTTTCAGAACATCAGCTGTCTGAATTTGTGTGAAGGAGAAGCGGGGGGGGCATGGGCAAGTTGCAGCGGAGGGTGCAGAGCTGGTGGCCGGGGTAGTGGTAGCCAGGTGGAAAGCATGGCCAGCCGTAGCAAAATGCTTGTTGAAATTCTCGATTATTGTAGATTTATCGGTGGTGATAGTGTTTCCTAGCCTCAGTGCAGTGGGCAGCTGGGAGGAGGTGCTCTTATTCTCCATGGACTTTACAGTGTCCCAAAACTTTTTAGAGTTAGTGCTACAGGATGCAAATTTCTGTTTGAAAAAGGTAGCCTTCGCTTTCCTAACTGCTTGTGTATATTGGTTCCTAACTTCCCTGAAAAGTTGCATATCGCGGGGGCTATTCGATGGTAATGCAATACGCCACAGGATGTTTTTGTGCTGGTCAAGGGCAGTCAAGTCTGAGGAGAACCAGGGGCTATATCTCTTCTTAGTTCTGTATTTTTTGAATGGGGCATGTTTATTTAAGATTGAGAGGAAATTACTTTTAAAGAACAACCAGGCATCCTCTACTGACGGAATGAGATCAATATCCATCCAGGATACCTGGGCCAGGTCAATTAGGAAGGCCTGCTCGCTAAAGTGTTTTAGGGAGCGTTTGACAGTGATGAGGGGTGGTCGTTTGACCGCGGACCCGTTACGGACGCAGGCAATAAGGCAGTGATCGCTGAGATCCTGGTTGAAGACAGCGGAGGTGTATTTAGAGGGTAAGTTAGTCAGGATGATATCTATGAGGGTGCCCATGTTTACGGATTTAGGGTTGTACCTGGTAGGTTCGTTGATCATTTGTGTGAGTTTGAGGGCATCTAGTTTGGATTGTAGGATGGCCGGGGTGTTAAGCATATCCCAATTTAGGTCACCAAGCAGTACGAACTCTGAGGATAAATGGGGGGCTATCAATTCACATATGGTGTCCAGGGCACAGCTGGGGGCTGAGGGGGGTCTGTAGCAAGCGGCAACAGTGAGAGACTTATTTCTGGAAAGGTGGATTTTTAGAAAAAAACTGTTTGGGCACAGACCTGGATAGTATGATAGAGCTCTGCAGGCTAACTCTACAGTAGATTGCAACTCCACCCCCTTTGGCAGTTCTATCTAGATGGAAAATGTTGTCGTTGGGGATGGACATTTCAGAATTTTTGGTGGCCTTCCTAAGCCAGGATTCAGACACTGCTAGAACATCAGGGTTGGCGGAGTGTGCTAACGCAGTGAATAACTCAAATGTCTATTCATCAAACTCTTCCATGATCATTCACTCAATTAATCAAATTTAAGTCAACGCTGTATGAGGTCAGATGTGAAAAGTAATTCTTAATTTCTTTATTGGCAGGTAAAACTTCCATTCCCTGTTAATCAAATCACAAATCTTCCACGGAATGACTTCCAAATGATGGTAAAAATGCACAAACTGACCTCAGAGCAGCTGGAGTTCATCCATGATATCAGGCGGCGGAGTAAGAACCGCATCGCAGCGCAGCGTTGTCGCAAGAGGAAGCTTGACTGCATCATGAACCTGGAGTGCGAGATCAGAAAACTGGTGAGTGTGTCAGTAGATCTACATGACATGTCATTCTCTCTCATAGACTGTAAATGCTATCTCCTGTATACCCCCCCTACCTTGTCACAACACAACTGATTGGCTCAAACGCATTAAGAAGGAAACAAATTCCACAAATTAACTTTTAACAAGGCACACCTGTTAATTGAAATGCATTCCAGGTGACTACCTCATGAAGCTGGTTGAGAGAATGTCAAGAGTGTGCAAAGCTGTCATCAAAGCAAAGGGTGGCTACTTTGAAGAATCTCAAATATAAAATATATTTTGATTTATTTAACACTTTCTGGGTTACTACATGATTCCATATGTGTTATTTCATCGTTTTGATGTCTTCACTATTATTCTACAATGTAGAAAATAGTAAAAATAAAGAAAAATCCTTGAATGAGTAGGTGTGTCCAAACTTTTGACTGGTAGTATATGTATATGACATGTCATTCTCTCTCATAGATATCCTGTAAATGCTACAGTACATAGTGTATAGACCTACTGGCATTCCACATACACATATAGAAATGCACACGCTGTCAGACAACTGCCTCCTCCTTCACACGTAGGCTATTCTCAATTTCACACATTGCTTTCTTATTTTTGACCAGCTTTTGGATCATTTATTTTTTTCCCCTGTGATTGGTTCAGATCACAGACAGGCAATAATATTGTAAGCACATAGATAAAGAATCACACTGCTTTCTATAGACCAGGGGTGTCAAACAAATTTTGCCCCGCGGGCCGTATGTTTGACACACCTGCTATAGACTGTAGAGTAGTAGAACAATGTAGTGTCTATATATAACAGTTCTCTCCCTGGACTTACTAATGATAACATTTTGACAGCGCAACAAACATTACCTTGGGATAGAGCGATATTAATTACAACAACATTGTGTCAGCACTTTCACGCCAGCTAACTGCCCTCCAGCTGCCACGCTGTCAAAGGACAATCAGCTGTGTGTAGGCTCTCCTACCTCCTTGCCCCCGCATTTCCATGGCATGGCGGTCTCTCACAGGCAGCCGCCACGCTTTTTCCATGAGGGGGGTGGAGCTGCGAGCCTCTGATGTGTTGTGTGTGTCAACCGTACACACATAAACACACACACACTAGTGCTTTACTCTCCACAGAGGACTGACAGCCTTCCCCTTGATATCACCCAGCAGCATCTTAGATATGAGAACATCATCATCAAACATCTTTCCACCACCTCGTTCCTTTTTACCTCAGTGCACACAGCACCCTGGAAATGCTTGCTCATCACAAACCTAATCAAAAGTATGCTCACGATTGAAACAAATGGTTTAATATATACGCTTAGGGAGCAAATAATATAGGCCATGTGAACACTTTTATGTTGATATGAAGAAATGAATACCATGCATTATGTATCTACTGGATATTTCATACTGCTGCTAGAGGCTGTGTTTACAGAACATTAGCTGCAGCCTCAAAGGGCTTAGCAGTGTGTATGTGTCTCTTTCCTCCTTGTCAGACCACAGCTCATGACATTAGTCCTCATCACTAATATTTCCTTTTGTGTCCATCAGGTGAACGAGAAGGACAAGCTGCTGGCAGAGAGGAACCAGCTGAAGGAGTGTATGGGCGAGCTGTGGGAGAACTTCTCCTGTCTGTCCCAGGAGGTCTGCAGGGACAGGCAGCTGAGCCCGGAGCAGGTCCAGTCCCTGAACCACCACTGCCCTGTCCTGAAGCCCGGCACCAACACCACCACCACCACCACCACCACCACCACTGCCAGCAACGCTGCCTCCAACAGCATTGACCTCAACACCCACTCCAGCTCAGCCACCCTGGAGCCCAGCTTCCTCAAGTCCTACGGGCCCTCAGAGAGTGAGCCTGATTGGGCCATGGGCAACGGGGCTGATGGGGGGCCAGGTAGCAATGAGGCGGGGGGCCAAGAGCCAAGTTTATACATGGAGGCGGGGCTCTCGTTCAATGAACAGTCCAATCAGACGGTGACGGTAGACTTCTGCCAGGAAATGACTGATAAATGTACAACTGATGAACAGCCAAGAAAGGACTGTACTTAGTAAACTGTGGTTTTAATATCTGTTTTTTATTATTTAATTTGTAGTTTTTATTTTCTTCTGACAAACCCCTTCCTTGGGGTTGGTGAGATGTTCAGCCTCTACCAGTGTTCTTTAAACAACACGTTTTTTGTTTGTTTTTATTTATGTATTTTTGTTGTATTTTTATAGGTTGACACTACAGTTGTCTTAACAGCAATACTGTTCTCCAGGTATTCTCCTCTCTGTAACCATGACAGAGTAGGAACTTCCCACACAAAACTCTGCACACAATGGTGCTCCACCTTGCCCCTGCAGGAAGCAACCTCCACAGTGGACACACTGTTCTCTATCAATACAGTCTACTCACAGGGATGGGCAAAGATCACATCTTCAATTCAAACCTCAATGGACCTAACAGCAACTCTCTTTGTCTCTTGATCTACCTACAGTTTCTATCTCTCTGTCTCTCTCGCTATCTCTCTTTCTATGTCTCTCTATTTCTCTCACTCTCCCTTTCTCTCTCTGTGTGTCTCTCTCTCACTCTCTCCTACTCTGTCTATTTTCTATCACTATTTCTACATCTTTCTCTCTATTTCTCTATCTTGCTATCTTTCGTATTCTCTCCCTCTGTCTCGTGGCCCTTGTCACAGCAATTCAAACTCAGGAAAATATATTCTGAATGTTCAACATGATTCATGAAAATAAGAATACAGCTTCTGTACATGAGAGATTTCTGAAGCAGTTAGACTGTAAATGTTCATATGCAAAAATGTCTTCTGCGTCACTCATTTGCAGTTCCTGTACAGCAAAACGATGTGTACAGACAGTACCTAAACATTCCTCCTTTGCCTTGCTCAGCACTGAAACGAAAGAGAAAAACAAACGATTTGGCAGGTGGTTCCCAAATAGCAATGTTCCCACACATCAGCAAAACCATTGTATTTGGATGTTGTAATGGTAACTTCCAAGTGCTTGTCTGGGCAGAACGTAATAACGTATAATGTATATAGTATGGCGCATGGTGACTGTCACAGTAATATTGTACAGGTAGTGGCTTAGACGTTTCTTTTTCACTGGGGTTATATCAAGCACCTTTTTTCTAAGGGAAAATATTTGCTTTGCTTTTTCCTGACTAAAGGAAAATTCCCCATAAGGGTGGGTGTTCTTAAACTCAGGAAATCAGCTTGATACACACACACACACTCACCCACACACAAACACGCACACACAGAGACACGTGCGCACACACACACACACACACACACACACACACGGATGTTGCTGGCGAGAACAGTGTAAAGTATGTTATTAACACATCCATTCAAACTTTGACACCTCTTTAAATGTGAAAAAGAGTTTAGGCTTGTTGTGTTTTTGGCAAAACATTCTTTCTTTGTATCAGTATTTAAAGATGCTATATGTATGATGGTGAAACCTCTCACAGACACCCTTTGAATTTCTTTAGTGTTATGTTTCAATGTTGTCAAGAAGTTTGAGAGTAGATATTCTGTCTGTAACAAAAAAACATACACAAAATATTTATATTTGACTAAGGATACATTCTCCAATGAATCTGGGCTCAAGATCAGGCACTTTCCTTCCAGCACCAGATACTCAGTTGTAACTAGTTCTAATAGCACTTCATAGAGGGTCTAGGTCAGGTTCAGAACCCTGAAAACACTGATACTGAAGCACTTGAATTGGCACTTCAATTAATACATCTTATTGATAAGTTTATATTGATATAAATATCTCTATGAAGACATTAAATTCAAAAACCTACAGCAAACAGGTTTATTAACAAAAAGGAAGCTAACATTATAATATTTAGAGAGTGTTCATCTTATATTTGTATTTCTTTAAGAATTGAATAATTTAATTGGGACTTCAGTTCATGTGAAAGCATGATATAGTAACATGTTTGCCCTGATTGTACATTTGTTGAAAACATAATATTCTGTGATGTGAATGCATGCTGCCTGTATATTTTACCTAGTTATTTTGTCTAGCTTGTGTTTGCTTCTAACGATAGTCCTCAACTAAATTATTTAGTCTATCTTTTGATGAACAATATTTACATTTATAACGTAAATATACAGAAATAATACTCGTATCTGTTTAACAGGGATGTGCTTGAAAATACAAAACATGAGAAATAGAGCCAGTACCTATGAAGAGGAGTGAATTCAATTGGAATAGAAAGCTTTACTCATAACCTTAACTTAATTTAGGATGAAAAGCTATACAGTGTCAGAAAGATAATATACACTTTGATGACTGTCTGCAAATTCTCCTTGGCGTTACCCGGCTGCCCTCTCTTGGACACAGTTGTGTAGTAGTCTAGTCTTGACTGATATCAAATGCTGTTGTGATATTAGAGTGCAGCTTTGTAGAGTATGTCTGTGTTTCGCAGTGTGCTAGTCTGATTATTTGACCATATAATTATTTCCCTACGATTTTAGTTAGACCCGTATACAGTCATACACAGACAACCACAAACATGCACACAAATATACAGTGGGGGAAAAAAAGTATTTAGTCAGCAACCAATTGTGCAGGTTCTCCCACTTAAAAATATGAGAGAGGCCTGTAATTTTCATCATAGGTACACGTCAACTATGACAGACAAATTGAGGAAAAAAAATCCAGAAAATCACATTGTAGGATTTTTTATGAATATATTTGCAAATTATGGTGGAAAATAAGTATTTGGTCACCTACAAACAAGCAAGATTTCTGGCTCTCACAGACCTGTAACTTCTTCTTTAAGAGGCTCCTCTGTCCTCCACTCGTTACCTGTATTAATGGCACCTGTTTGAACTTGTTATCAGTATAAAAGACACCTGTCCACAACCTCAAACAGTCACACTCCAAACTCGACTATGGCCAAGACCAAAGAGCTGTCAAAGGACACCAGAAACAAAATTGTAGACCTGCACCAGGCTGGGAAGAGTGAATCTGCAATAGGTAAGCAGCTTGGTTTGAAGAAATCAACTGTGGGAGCAATTATTAGGAAATGGAAGACATACAAGACCACTGATAATCTCCCTCGATCTGGGGCTCCACGCAAGATCTCATCCCATGGGGTCAAAATGATCACAAGAACGGTGAGCAAAAATCCCAGAACCACACGGGGGGACCTAGTGAATGACCTGCAGAGAGCTGGGACCAAAGTAACAAAGCCTACCATCAGTAACACACTACGCCGCCAGGGACTCAAATCCTGCAGTGCCAGTACATGTCCAGGCCCGTCTGAAGTTTGCTAGAGTGCATTTGGATGATCCAGAAGAGGATTGGGAGAATGTCATATGGTCAGATGAAACCATAATATAACTTTTTGGTAAAAACTCAACTCACCTTTTTGGAGGACAAAGAATGCTGAGTTGCATCCAAAGAACACCATATCTACTGTGAAGCATGGGGGTGGAAACATCATGCTTTGGGGCTGTTTTTCTGCAAAGGGACCAGGACAACTGATCCGTGTAAAGGAAAGAATGAATGGGGCCATGTATCGTGAGATTTTGAGTGAAAACCTCCTTCCATCAGCAAGGACATTGAAGATGAAACGTGGCTGGGTCTTTCAGCATGACAATGATCCCAAACACACCGCCCGGGCAACGAAGGAGTGGCTTCGTAAGAAGCATTTCAAGGTCCTGGAGTGGCCTAGCCAGTCTCCAGATCTCAACCCCATAGAAAATCTTTGGAGGGAGTTGAAAGTCCGTGTTGCCCAGCGACAGCCCCAAAACATCACTGCTCTAGAGGAGATCTGCATGGAGGAATGGGCCAAAATACCAGCAACAGTGTGTGAAAACCTTGTGAAGACTTACAGAAAACGTTTGACCTGTGTCATTGCCAACAAAGGGTATATAACAAAGTATTGAGAAACTTTTGTTATTGACCAAATACTTATTTTCCACCATAATTTGCAAATAAATTCATTAAAAATCCTACAATGTGATTTTCTGGATTTTATTTTCTCATTTTGTCTGTCATAGTTGACGTGTACCTATGATGAAAATTACAGGCCTCTCTCATATTTTTAAGTGGGAGAACTTGCACAATTGGTGGCTGACTAAATACTTTTTTTCTCCACTGTAAATACACACACGATACATGTCCAATGGCATTCTTATGTAAAGAAGGATTGAGTCTAGAGCAGTTGTAATTGTTGTTTGTGAGGTTCTTCTTCCACTTTGGCTTTTCTCTGATTCATATGCTATCACTGAAGTGGAACAATATCCATCAGTCTCCATTATCACGTACAAAACAGGAAACACATTTGTCAAACCACATGCAGTTCCTACCCAATAAATGTACTTTTTCTTTCTAGTTTTTGAAGTAAAAGTGTAAAGCATAACGTTCCACCAGAAAAGCCCACTCTCATTAGGCTAAACTTTGACAAACGTCTAATTTGGGGGAAAATGTATTGAAATTCATAAAGTTGATATTGTCCTCGGCCCATCAAAGCTATACCAATAGATATCACTCAATATCTGTTTTTAGATGTCTTTATAATTATATTATGATTAATATTGATGTTGTTCTTTGGATAGCAATGAGTGCATAGCATATTTCTGGTTTGTACTGTACGCAACATTTACAATTCCTCATCATTGTTTATTCTCTAGCTAGAGCCCCTAGATTGATATCCAGTAAAGGTTGGTTGGTGGATGCAGATAGAGACCAACTGGGCACAGACATCATTTCAAAGTCTAGTTTTGATATACATTTGGTTGAGTTGTCAACTAACGTAAATTCAATGTGAAATCAACAGCAAAAAAATCACCATGTCATTAGAGTTCGGTTAATTATGGAATTAACTTTATGTTTATGACTTTTTGCAAATCCAATTAGTTTTCATCGTTGATTCACCGTCATCACATTCAATTGTTTTGTTGAAATGATTTGGAAACAACGTTGATGCAACCAGTTTTTACCCAGTGGGAGGTGGTACAAAGTAATGAGGGGTTTTTAATGTAGCTCCTTCCTCCGGTCAATTGCCAGTCCAGACCTCTTAGCCG